GCTGCGAATCCGACTTCACTGCCACGCTGCGGGCTTGGGGCGGCCCTGGGGCTGCACAAAGGTCTCCCTCCGCTGCCTTGGCCGTGCCGCCTTCGGGGCCGGCGCTCCCGCAGCCGCCGCCGTCTGAGGACACCGCGCTGCTCCCTCCACCATCCTGCTCTGCCCCCCGAGCGAGGAAGTGTCTGCCGTACACACGGGAGCCTCGCAGGTCACGCAGAGAGCTGCCCTCGCACCGCTTCTCCAGGACCTGCAGCACCTTCTGGGCCAGCTCCGCAGGCACCGACAGCTGCATCAGGCCTTCTTCATCCACCTCCGACAGCCACACCGATGGGGCCAAGTTAACCTCGGGCTCGCCCCTCGTGGTGGCCACCGGCACGAGGGACAGAAAGGCTGCACCACCAGACCTGTCCAGGGCCACTCCCCACTGCCACCCTGCCCTGGCTGTCCCCAGCCCAACTCCCACCCGTGCTCACCACCAGCTGCAACTGGCACAATGACCCCACGGCCTTGCCTCGCCTGCCCAAACCTCGCTGGACAGTCACTCCTCCAGTCAGGGGACACTGCCTTTCCTCTCATCTCCACTCACTGCTCTGCTGGGCCAAGCTCCCTCGGCTTTCACCCATCCCCACTCACCCTCCCATTTCTGCCCCATTCAGGCTGTCCCTGCACAGCTCACACTTGCCACCTCCTCTGGGCCTGGTCCCTTCCCTGCTGTTCTCCTTGCTCCTCCCTCCACTTTCCTGCTGCAGGCACTGGCCCCTACCTGCTCTCCCTGGTGCTGCTGGATGAGACAGGTGATCTCCTTCTGCTCCTGTGCTTCCAGCTTCCTCACAAAGAAGAGCAGCTCCCACCATTCGGCACGGCTCAGCGTCTCTGCAGCCTTGGGCAGCCGCTGCCCCAGGTAAGGCAGGGAGTAAAGCCCCCCCAAGGGCTTGCACAGCAATGGCTGTGGAACTGCTGGGGAGCAGAGCAAGGAAAGGCACTGTCAGCTCTGCCAGCTCCCCCATCCTCAGCTACACTCCTCATTCCACAAGGAAAGAACTCATGCTGGGCAGAAGAGGTCCCCACCATACCATAGCTTGCTGGGAGAAAGGAAGGTAAGGGGAGAGTAGTGGGAGAGTTGGAACATGCTTAAGGAGACCAACAGGCTGCTCACCTGCTCTCAGTCTGTGGTTTCGTGTCAGGGTGTTCACCTTCTCCTGGCCCTCAAGCTCCTTTTGCTCTGAAGGGCCAATGATCTCGACCATGTGCCAGTGAACCCAGTACGTGCAGCCCAGAGCTTGCCAGTACACCTGAGGAGGACAGCCCAACAGACACCCAGCTGGGGGAATGCAAGGCCAACGCCACTGTTCCTATGCAAGGCTGCACAGGAGAGCAAACAGGCCCATTGGCAGCACCTGCTCCCCCAGCAGGGGTACCTGCACTGGGGGCATGCCGTCGTTGCTGCGGCGGAAGTCACCCTCGTCGCCGGCGCTGACCTGCTCGTAGTCCTCGAGCATGCGCACCCTCATGCCGCTCACCAGCGTGGCCTGCACGTATTCCACGTAGCTGCTGCGGCTCGGGAACGCCGAGCGAGTCTTGAAGGTCACGGGCTCCTTTGCTGGGGATGTGGGGGCTGCTTCGGCAGCAGAGATGGCTGAGGCCTTGTGCTGGAAGATGGAGCGGGCGGGGCGAGGCTGCAGGTCCCGTTGGGGCAGTGGCTCTGCCTCGTGGCTGTGGCTCCAGCCCATCACGTGCACCAGCTCCGAGATGAGGCTTGCCATGGCCATGCTGAACTCAAACTCCTGCTTCACACGGCTCCTCTCCTCAGGGACAGGGCTGGGCACAGCACAGCCCTGCTGCTCCTCTCCCTGCTCCACGCCACTGCTCAGCTTGTCCAGGAGAGAAGTCACACACAGGTAGCGCTTCACCAGGACAAACAGCTGCTTCCCAGGGATCTACAACAAGCACAGCTCTCACTCAGCCTGCAGAGCACCTCCAGCCCCCTGCTCTCTCTGAGCCACCAGCTCATTCCCAGGCAGGCTCCCGGGAGAGCTCCAGACCAGCTGGCAGCAGCAGAGACCTCTCAGCCCACCCTCCCCTCCCTGCTCGCAGACCGGGCTCTCCAGGTGCCTCTGCACCACCCCCAGCCTCTCACCAGGCCCACGTCCTGTGCCAGCTCTCCCAGTCCTGCTCACCTGCCCACCTTAAACTCCCCTCTTGGCCAGGACAAGGTGCCAGCCCTGTTCCCCCACTCCCACCCCTCCTGGCCCCTCATGCCCCACAGGCCCGGGGCTGGTGGCCGGTCCGTCCCTACCTGCGGGAGGTGAATCCCCTCGAAGGACATGCAGTGCTCTGCAGAGGACGTGATCTCAGCAAACAGCTCCAGCAAGGTGCAGCGACTGTCAAAGTCCACCTGCTGCTCAATGCCATCCTGCTGGCTCAGGGACAGCAGGACATAGGCCCGGCTCCCTGCAACAACAACAAAACAAAAACTCTTCAGGCCCCACAAAGACAACCCTCACCCCACCCTCCCTGTGAGAGATGGAGCTGCAGGAGAGGAACAGCTTTGCTGCTGCATGTCAACTGATCCATGTTCTGTCCCTCTGGAGTGGCAACATTTTGCTCCATGGTGTACTTTTTCTACCCCTAACACTGCAAGATTCTCACAAAGCAGCAACCCCAAACTGATTCCAGAGCAGGGTCCCAGGGAAGAAAAGAAGTCAAGTTTTAACCTGAATCAGACCCTCCTCTGCCCCACTTCAGAGCTGCATGAACTCAGGCACTAGGACAGGGAAAGCCGGATCTCCTGTGGGATACACAAGCAGCAACCTTCCAGGTGCACCCAAACCTCATCAGGTGCTTCCAAGCCATGGCAGCACCTCTTAAATGAGGACTAGCCTCTATCCAGGGCTTGAGAAAAGGCTCCCTGCCAAGAATAGGCCAGAGACTTTCCAACTGACAGCTTAGAGCAGTCACCCCACACTCTGCCAATCTCCTTGGCCTAAGTCCTCCTAACAGTTAATCAGCGTCCCAGCTCAGAAACCCGGCAGGGGAGAGTTTCTAGATCCAAGAGCAGTCCAGACAACTACAACCAAGGAAGCCTGGAAGATGCAGACTGATTCCTCCCCTTTTGCCAAGAAGCCCCGAGACGTGCTGCTTCCCAGGCACCTCACCCCTCCCAAAGGCTGGCACCCCTCAGCTGCCCAGCAACACCTCCTCAGCGGCACCGAGCAGGAGCAGCCCCCACCTGCATCGTGGGCACCCAGAGCGCGCAGCATCTCGCCGGCACTGCGGCGGATCTGCTTCTCCTTGTGGCACAGCATCCTCATCAGCAGGTCCAGGGCTCCCGTCTCCCTGAAGGCGCCCGCCAGGGAGCCGATGCTGGCGTAGGCGCCCAGCACGTGCACCGTGCTCAGGATGGAGCGCTCGGGCGTCCCGGCCTCGGCCACCTGGCGCCCGGCTCGCTGCACCAGGCTCCTGACATCGGCCTTCATCTCCAGCAGCGAGGCCTCGTCCAGCGCCACGTCCGCGGCCAACGGACCGGGCGCCTTCTCCTCTTTCAGCCGCGGCCCTTCCGGCCTCCTCCGGCCCAGCAGCGCCGGGCAGCTGGCGCAGACCTCTTCTGCAGACATCCACATGGAGATGTGCTCTGGCTTGGTCTCTGCACAGGAGGCACTGCTGCCTCCCGCTGCTCTCTCTTCCATGCTGACAATGCTCCACTGGACCAGGTATTCCGGCCGGCCGTCGTGGCCTCGCCGCTGCCGGAGCAGCTCCTCTGGGTAGGCCTGCAGTTTGGGCCCCAGCTGCACAAGTAGGGTGCCATTGTGCTTCTCATTCACCATGGCAGCAGATGTGTCTGCAGAGACAGAGGGGAAGCAGGGTCAAGCTTTTATTTCTGAGCTGCATGCTGGGGAAAGTGTGAGCCAGCACTGACAGTAGAAGCGGTCAAAGCACAGCTTTTGATCGTGAGATTCTACCCCCAGGATAAAGCTTTGAAGGAAAAGCCACTTTGCAGAGGCTCACATTCCCCTTCCAAGAAAATAAGACAGCTTTTCATAAACAAAACCAGTTCCAAGCATTACTGGCACACACAGAAGGAGATTCTCCTCAAAAAATAAACACAAAACATGGATGCAAAATAGACCCTTTAATAAGACAGAAAATAATGATGGAAGATTTTAATCCTGTTCACATTCCTGCCACTGGCCATAACACAACCCTCACAAGTTGCTGCACTTCTGTCTTCCCTCCTGCTATTTACCATTTATAGTGCAGACTGTGAGTTTACACAGAGCTCACGGTACTCTCACCATGCATAGGGACCTTCACATCACCAGGCCCTGAAGAAAATAATGAGCAGTTTCTCAGATCTAGTTCATACATATCAAATCACTACCTGAAAGTCTCTCAGTATTCCCTCCTCGGCCTCTTCTCAGAATTCTTTGCCTTTACAATGTCTCATCAATGGACAAAGTCCACAGAACTAAAAGATTTTTATTCTCTGTTACCCGACTGTTCTGCATCTTGGGACTACAGAGAAGACACGGTGCTTCTCTTTTTTCAGCCCTGCAAAGGGCAGCATGGAAATAATTTGCTGTCCAAGACTGAGTGCCAGCGGATCAGCAAGGCAGCTGCAGACAAAACCGCTGAGTTCACACAGGATTCCAGATCAGGCTGATAGGAAGGATCTCAGAGGAGCTCAGTCAGGTGCCGGTGGGAAACACTCCCACCACTTACACACACGGGCAAGAGAAGCGGTGAAGAAAGATACCGGAGAAGCAGTCAATCCGTGTTTAACCAAAGATACTAACCATCAAACACTATGACATTAAAAATATTTACCAGGTGCAAAGAGGAGCAGCCTGAACTCCCAAAACATTCATACTTACCTTCGATTGTGCTGCTTTCCTTGGAGTTTGCAGCATTCCAGACGGGAATCTTCTTACAGTGTCTGTAATAAAAAGGCCAAGTTATTCTCCTGTGCTTCGTAAAAGTGTTTAGATGCCACACCACAAACCAAATAATTGTTTTTCTTAAATGCTAGAGGACAGCTCGCACCGACGCGCCTCGGTCCTGGCGCCGCGGAACACACGGGCTTTCCCCCGGGCCATCCCGGACACCCCGGCGAGCCGCGCCCCTACGCCCGGCCCTTCGCTCACCGCTGTTCCGCTGTCCCCGGAGCCGCGGCG